ATCAGAGACAAAATGGATATGTACGATTTCAGGCTCATTTAGAATTAAAATCGTCCGATAAAATTTAAAATCATTTTTTTTTTTAAATACGGCTCTTTCCATGCACTCAATTTTTAGCCATGAAGCTGCTTCAAGAAACAACAAGAAATGTTCGGCCCAAGGTTTTTTTTTCAGAACTATGAAGTCTGAATTTGAATTTAGCAAGAACAGCAATGTTCTGCGCCTTTTGAATCTAGAAATAAAAAAGCAGTACAGGCAGCACTCACGTTAAACGGATCACTGTTTCGTGGATGTCAAATCAGCCATGATTATTTTTTTTAGCCAAGCGTGACAGTTATCCCAGTAACATCATTAATCCCTAATGCTCATAAAGTCTGGAAGGTTTTGGTATTTTGGCAATTAAAATAAAAATAACATCAGCCACTTATCCAGCCCTGTTTCGGCCAACAAATGAATCCCAGCACTGTAGAACAATCTGCGGCTAAGTCTGGCGGATGTTAAAATTAATTAGCTTAATACGAAATATAGAATTATCTGAGGGTAGCACAAGAGAATTTTTGGAAATTATTTGCGACTATTCATTTCTGTTCGGAAATACAAAATTTAGCTCGTTTTTTGATATCTTAAGCAAATGACATACCGAATAAGCATGATCCGGCGCTCGCGCTTGTAATTCACCATATTGTGCGTCTGTTAGTAGAAGCTTTATGGCATGTGTAAGTTGCTCTGTTTCTGCTATTAAATTGTCAGGAAACACTGAAATGTAATCAATACCTAATCCAAATATGCGATAACAGTAAAGGATGAAATATCTGTATTGATTTTGATAGTGTCTGATGCCGAAGTCTAACAGATGAAAACACAAAACTCAAAACACCACTGTCATTAACAAATGTACTACTCTACAAATCTCACAATAGATAAAAATCAAGAGTACCAAGAGCCTTTAGACAATCGGTCTGCGGATAACATATTGGTGATATTGCTGGGAAGATTCCACGATCCGTGAAATCTTCCCCGCTACATCACTGATATGATTCGCACCTCGCTGGCCTCAACACTGCCTAGTTGTGCGACACTTCCACACCCCAACGAGGTGCCTGGGTCGAAATTTTACGCAAGGGAGCAAGAAAATAAGCACAATGAACTTGTAAAGTGATTAGATTAGGTAAAAAAAAAAATTCCATGATAAAAGGGTAAATGAAAAGGTATTCACTGACCATCTGTACAACGATACGTGCCGTGTAATTCTTCCTCGTCAATTCTTCGATCAGCCGCATCCAAAAATTCATTCCGATTGCGACAGAGAGAATCTATGCCTGGGTCAACTGCTTCGTTCCCCATATTGTAGTCTGACTGCTGTTGCTGTTGAGCACCTGATCGCTGTGAAAAAGATCGTTGCTGGGAGACTACTCTACCACCAGGTGACGATGAAACAAAGCCGCTACCGTATCGCCGGCCAGAAATCCCATGTAAGTCTGCATTCTGCGGTTCTAAATAACGCATAAAAAAGTACACTATCAATTGTGCAAGAAAAGAAAAAATGCAAAATAATCAATCTGAAAGTAGAACGCTACGATGCTAGGCGTAGAAGATAGTCATCAGTCAAAAATACAATAAAGCAAGCTCAGAAATACTAAAAATGAGATATGAGGCAAGCACAGCGCAAAAATAGCAAGAGCCAAAAAATCGGAGAGGATGGATATAAAAGCAGAAGATCTTTCTGCCCTTCTCAATCTCTCTCACCATCTTTCTTTCTTTTTTTATCAAAAGCAAGATATGCCATTGGACTGAAATGTATCAAAAAACTGGTCCGTTTATTTACTTAAATATACTCACCAAGAGGCGGTTTCCCGCTCGAAGCATGATAGATGGGTGGAACGCTCCTGTTATTACTGATCATCGAGCTTGAAATCGATGAGCCAGGTGATACGACCGGTGCTGGAGAGGATTTTCGCCTCGACAAGGCCTAAATGGTGCTCAATTTTCTGAGAGAAAGAAGCACAAAAAGAAACAGAAAAATGTGACAACAGAATTTAATTCTAAAGCAGAAAAGTAAGAACAGACGTCCAGCATTAAATGGAAGTAATAAACGCGAAATTTCTAATGGAAGAATTAGCACGACAGGAACTGACGACCAGTCGAAACAAATCCCCCAGAAAATGGGGCATAATGGGAATGGTGGTTAACAATAAGAAATAAAGTATCATGGGAGAGGGGCTTGTATTAAAGCTGTGCCCAGCGACTGCCTCCATCCCAGTAACAATGAACCCACCAAAACGACAGAGAGTATCATGTACAAGACAGTCGGCAGTACAAAGAGAACGAGGACAAAGTTTGTTTAGGATTCAAAAGAAAATGATGAAAAATTTATCAAAGTCGAAAATGAAAATCTTTTCGTTCTTTCTGTGAAGCGGAAGCATTTGGAAAGCGTCTGGATTGATGGGATTCCGCCTTTACTTCGGGACTGTCTTCAGAAACTCTTTTCAGTTTTTCGACAAAAGTAAAAAAAACAAGCGACTTAGTATGGCACTTACTTACCAATGTACATGTACTTTGTACTTTCCTGAGTTCATCATGGAGGTCTATATTATCCGCATTCAAACGGTCAACGCTAGACTGCAAATGTGTTAGCATCCTGAAAATCTTTCCAAAGAATCAGAATTAACTTCCCATGCGCTGGAGAGCGTATTAAAGTCAAAAATGAAAAGCCTTTCGCTCTCTTTGAGAAGCGTAAGCACTTGGAAAGCGTCCAGCTGATAGCACGCGCTAATCCCAGCCACCTGCTGGTAAGGCTGTCAATGGCTTCTTTCAGGGGTTGCATGCAAGCAAGTACTGGCGGCTTTCAGTCCCCTAGTTTATAACAGTGCCATTTTATTAAAAAACGAATGAACGAATTATAGAGGGAGATCTACTCTGCCAGCAGCACCGTTGAATTCCCGATTTTCCGCAAGAGTGCGCTATGCTTTTCGGTCGAAAAAGTTATAATTTAAAAAAATAGTTCTGAAACACCCGCCTTAGGATTTGTGTATTAGCTTGTTGAACAGCAGTTAGTGCGCCTTCCGTATTGACAACTTTTTCTTTTAGTTCCAAAAAGTCGTCAGTATTTACAAATCCCGGTTCTTGCAGCAGATCACCACTGTCGTCACTCTTCCTTTCTGAAGATTTTCTGAAACTGATCCAAAAATGAAGTACGTTTTCGTTCAGAAAACCAGGACAACAGAGGTGCACAGACAATGTCATTCTGTTTCCTAATCAGTTACAGCATGCATTCGCAGAAAAATATACCGCAAAATCAATGAAAATACCTTGTACTTCCCGAAATACGCCATTTCCCGTCCTGTAAGCTG